TTTTTTTTTTGTTTTTTGGTTTTTTAGTTCACCCGTTTTAAAAAAAAAAAAGACAAAAAGGAAAAAAAAAAGTAACGTGGAAGAGAAAAAAAAAAAAACACCCTGGTTTCTTTTGTAATTGTGCTATTGAATATTGTGTTCTTTTTAAGAGGCAACTTGATTGTAAACTGCATTTAACTCTAGACCGGGGAAAAAAAACAAACCGTGCCAAAGTCTCCATTCTGTTCCTCCGACACACGCACCACCACCACCACCAACGCTTGTGAATGTATTTTTTCTGTTAGCTGGGTTTACACGTGATGTTTTAGTGCTTTTGCCAGTTCGATTTGTTAGTTCCTGTTCGGAAGATTGTGAGGAAAATAAACGTCCTGCCGTTAGCTTTTTCCGTAATAACACCCTCCCTCCTGTAAATATCTGTTACCATATTTATCCATTTGTAATTAAATTATGGTATTAACTTGCTACAGAGGAAACAGTATTTATAAAGAATGTTTCTTAACTATAAATATGTACAATTGTGAGCATAAACTGTTTCAGATTTTTTATTTGAAGGTCTAAGTGGTTTCATCATTTTCTTGTGATATGTTTTGAGAGTAATGCATACAGAAATATAATAAAACGTGTTGAAACTGCAGCACTGCTTCTTTTTTTATGTTAAAGGCTTTCTTGCATTGAGGACCTTCCTCTAGGGAACTAAATTCCGTTTGGGCAGATTATGAAAACCGTTTTTTTTTTTTTTGGTTAAAAAAAATAGCAGAAAACCCTTCAGGTGACATTTCGAAATCCTATATACCATCAGCTGGCCTTAACTTTCCTTTCAAATATCTAGAGTGAAAACAAAATAAAGCTGCATCACATGCTGGTACAAGGACAACATTTCAGAAATGCCTCTGTGGTGACAAGAAGAGCCCTTTTCAAATGTATTATGAAGATGTCCTTCCTTAGAGAGAGATTTAAGTTTATATCTAGGAGACCTTGGCTTTTTCCTCTGGACAGCACCCACTACAATTTGTCCTCTGCTTTGCTTACAATTATCTTTATCTGTATGTTGACGTGAATGTGGGTTTTTTGATTTTTGCAGGTGGGAGTATCCAGCCGCGTTTCTGGAAAGCGAGGGATTAGAAATATCCAGCTGGTGCTTTTAAGCTTGGCATTTTAAATGTAAAGTGCATTCTGTCAGACCCTTCAAATATTTTTTTGCACAGGCCCAGACGCCCTCCAAAAGGATAGGATACCAGCTTCATTTTCTCTCAGAGGTTTTTCTTTTTAAAGGCATGCAGAGATTCTTATTATTTTTATGACCGTTGTGATTTTAAAATGAGCTAAAGAAATAATCAAGAAGCAAGCACAAGGCTACAATATGACTCCTGGCTTTGCAAGGGGAGATAACAAGAAGAACGGCTGCTCTCCTTTAACTCTGCCTTGCCGCTAAGTTTCGGTGAGGAGCACCCCAGGGTGTGGACTCCCCGAGCCCCGGGGCTTTGCTAAGGATTCAGAAAGCCATTAAAAAAAAAGTTTGTGTGTAGGGAGGGGGGGCACGCCACCCTCTGCCCTTTTTTTCGTGGGTGGGCAGGATGCAGCTTTCTCTGCACACCGGAGCGATCGTGGCACGGGCTGGAAAGCCCCGAGCTGGCCCCAGCGCGAGGCGCCGAGCAGGGGCCCCTTCTCCAAGCAGCATCCGAGCGCCCTGCGGTGGCTGCGCTGCTTGCAGCAAAGCCGTTCAGAGAGTGCGGGGGAGCTGCCACCCCGCAGCTCTCCCCCCCGAGCTCCTTGCCCCTTCGGCAGTTAAGTGCCAAGGGCAGTGCCCAGGATGGGCGGGGAAGCCGGGGGCTCCCTGCTCTGTGATTTTTTTTGTGGGGGACGGAGGGAGGTGCAAGGGCGGCTGCGGGGAGGGAGCGAGAAAACCTCTCGGAGGGAACAAAGTTTTGCCGGAGCTCCCGCAGCCTGCCCTCTGCGCCTCCGCTTGTTTGGTGGCCGCAAGTCCTCCAGTGGCTCTTCAAACCGAGGGCTGCCCAGTGCTAATGCTCCGCGGAACGAGCGCGGCCCCTGGCATCTGCCGCCGTCGCCTGGAGGTGGCTGGGCCGGGGCTGCGGCTCCGACCCAGTCCTTTGTCCGGCTGGAGTAGCGGGAAGGTGGCCCCGGGGCGAGGGCGAGCGAGGGAGCGCGGTCCGGCCTCGCCAGCAACCGCGCTGGACGCGCTCGGGAAGCGGCGGCGGCCCAGCTCCAGGTCCGGCTCCCGGCAGACAGGCCCGGCTCTCCCGCAGCCCCCGCCGATGCGGCAGGGCGGGATGGGCTCCCGTGCACGGGGGCTTTTCCCCTCGGCTCCCGCCGGCAGCAAGAGATGCAGCCTCCGGGCCCCGGAGATCCCGCCTCGGGTTTCTCACCCCGCGGCCAGGCGCCTGAGCCGAGCTGCGGATCTCTGCGCTGGCTGGAGGGGAGGGGGGGGGTGTTGCACTTTGCTTGGGTTGAGCTGCGGATCCCCTTCCCTGTCCCCCAAGCACACCCCGCCCCCCCGGGCTGCTGGAGCCGCGGCCGGATCGCTCGCAGCCTCGCCTCCCTTGCGGCGCGAGATCCCTGCCGCAGGCCGAGGCCCCAGAGCCAACGGAGTGGAAAACAACCCTCCCCGCTCCCCCCCGCCCCAGCTCATGGCCCCGGGCCTGGCTCTGCCAGGCAGCAGCGACAGGCCACTCCAAGCGGTGCGGCTCCCCGGGCTGCCTTTCCCCGCAGGGCCCTGGGGAAAGGACGGCCTTGGCCGTGAGACTGGCTCCCCCCTCCCCCCCACCTCGCCAGGCTGGCCATGAACTTGAACTTGGACTTGGCTCGCCTGCCCCGGAGGCAGCCACCGCCTCCCCCACCTTGCTGGCCCCCACCGACGGCCGGGCCCCGCGTCACGATCACGGCTGGCAACCCGCGGCCAGCGGCTCCGGGCCCGGCGGCCTCAGGGGGATTGCTGCCGCGTGGCCCCCCCGCTGCGTCCGGCGCCGTGCCCTCTCCTTCTGCCCGCTTTGTGCTCCTCGGTCCCCGCTTCTGCCCCTGCCCCCAGCCTCCCCCTCTGTTCCCACCCCGTGTTGCTCTGCAAGCGGCCGGGCTGCCCCCGAGGGTAGAGCCCGGAG